TATTCATTCCCAGCGCGAGATTGAAGTCTTGTTTTCGACCCTGAAAAACCCACCTTTTCCGTTAGCTCAGAGCATAAAACTACATATAAGCGTCCTGGTACGTATTCCCTGCCTTATTCCCTGCCATCGCTGTGAAAAATACGCAAGAGAATCTCTCAACTTTCACCATTTGATCACGCAACGTGACAACATCCACGCGAGAGCCCCCGACATGTGCGTGGATCCGCGCGGATATATGACGTCAGGATGGCGCAATTTGTTCTAAAAATAGCAAAATTGTCCCATATCATAGATGCGCACGGATACCAAGACTTACGGTCTCCGTCCCCGATTATGGCTCCTGACCGCATCCATGCCTCCCCATTTTTTTCATAGTTGTTTTTCTCTGTGCCGACTTTTGCATTCATATCACCCGTAATGAGGAGTAGATCTTGGTTGGGAATCTTCGACAATTCAGCTTGCAGGGTGTTGTAGAAGTGCTTCTCTACATCATCATCAGCGTCGTTCGTGAGAACATGACATTGGATCACAGAGAAGTTGGTGCGTCTTCCACAAAATCTGGCCTTTATTATTTTACTACTGATTGGTTTCCATTCAAGTAACGATTTTTCCACCCCGCTCTGAAGGATTATGGCGACACCTTCACGATGATTGTTATCCTCACGACCAGAAAAGAGTACAGTTTCTCCTGTGCTGGTTTTTAGAGATTCCAAGGCAGTCCACCTCGTTCCACTCACCCCCAGAATATTCAGTTTATATTGTCTCAACTCTCTGGTAACCTGTGCCAACTTCCCTGCCTCAAACATTGTTCTTACATTCCAGAAACCAAGACGTATCTTCGTTTTGGTGTTCAGGACTTTCGTTTCCAGTAGGTTTTCGCTGTTGACAGTCATAAAAGTCAGAGACTCCAAAAGTCCATCACAACCAGTTGTAGGGTCTACCTCTGTTGTCGTTTCCGTAGCATGTGCAGTGTTTTATGGCGTAAGGTCACTGGCCTTACGCCCAACCCCCAAACCTGGAGGATCTTGGGATCGTTCTTTGTCTGGCCTCTACCCTCTGACCCTTCCGGTATGGGTGACCCTGCCGGGAGTACAAGATTCCTGCCGGCATAGCTTTCAGGGTCATGGAAAAACACAAGCCGCCTCACCCCTAACAAGGTGACGATCCCACCGAGGCAGAGGGGAAAACTGTATTGTTCCGATATCAAAGGCATTGCAGTCGGGCAACTTCTCTCCCTGCAGACGGCATTTGACATTCACGAAAGGAATTTAGAATTCCAAAAACCATATCTGATTGTAAGTTGTGAAAAATATGAAACATTTTGTGTCTCCAAGCTTTTAATTGGCGCCAAAAATGGGTCGCCCGCGTCCGGTAACTCACTCGTAGTTCCTCGAGTGCCGCCTGGTGGGAAAATATTTGTGTTACTTTGAACAAAATATGTTGTTCCTGGTCAAATTAAACTCAGAAATCTCGAGTTAACACGGCACGAAAAATCGCCTTTACCGCGCGTCAAATGTGTTGTTAAAGGTTTTGTAAAGGTCGCC